AACATAATGAATATATGTCAATAGTTAGGCCATAAATAAAATTACTATAAAGTTTATATTTCCTATTCCTCCACTAGATGATATGTTAGATTTGATCTCGTGGGCAAATTTTTTCCCCTAAATTGATCTAAAAAGTGGTTATAACCAAATTTGGTTTCATTTAGGAGATGAATGAAAAACTAATTTTAAAACCCTTGAAGGGCTTTATAAATGATTAGTCATGCCTTTTGAACTTTTAATTGGCCCCTATCACATTTATAAGGTTGATGAATATTGTCCTTAAGTCCTTTATAGGAGAGTTTTTAGTTGTCTACATTGATGATATCTTAATTTTTAGCCCAAATGAGAAAGATTTTTTATATCACCTTAGACAAATTTTTAAAGCACTTAGAAAGGATTAGGTATACATTATTTTGAAGAAATATTTCTTTTTTACAAGATGAAGTGTTGTTTTTGGGAATTATTATTTCTAGTGATGGAATAAAACTTGGTCCTGCCAAAGTTAAAGCAATATTAGATTGGCCAACACCTAAGAGTTTTAATGATGTTAGGAGTTTACATTGCTTCACCATTTTCTATAGATGATTCATTAAAGATTTTATTGTCATTATAGCTCTAGTCACTGACACACTAAATTTGATTAAATTTTATTAAACTTTAGCTACACAAAAAGCCTTAGATCAAATTAAGGTTCTTATGACTTCTGCTATAGTCCCTAGGCTTCCTGATTTCTCTAAAGCATTTGAGGTGATTGTGATGCTTCTGGAATTGGAATAAGAGGAATATAAAGTTAAGAAAATCATCCTATGGCTTTCTTTTATGAAAAATTAAAAGAAACAAAATAGAGATATTCAATATATGATATGGAATTTTATGCGATCATTTAATCTTTGAGACACTTACATCACAACATTCTACATCGAGAATTTATTCTTAATTCAAACCATCATATCCTTAAGTCTATCAATACCCAAAGAAAATTAAGTCATATACATACAAAATGGGTCTAGTATCTCCAGGATTACTCCTTCACCCTGAAACATAAACCTGGAGTTTAAAATAAACTTGTTGATTCTTTGCCAAGAATAACACTAAAAATACTTCATTAGAACTTAAAATTCTAGGATTTAAATGAATTATAGATCAATACATAGTTCACTTGACTTTTATCTAATTTATATTGAGCACTTAGAGAAATCTTTATCCCCATAAGAAACATTATCAATAATTAACTGATATCTATATCGAGAAAAATAACTTTACATCCCTAGATCCTCTCTTAGGGAATTTTTAATTTTTAAATACCTTTGACAATAATTGCTTGTCATTTTGTATAAGATAAACAATATGTTTAATGAAAGTTAATTTTTTGTTTGCCTTTACTTAAATGAGATTTTCAAAAGTTAGTGGCCAAATATTTAACCTGTAAGGAAACAAAAGCCACAAAATAAAAGTCTTATCAATATATTGGTTAAAATGTCCCTTATAGGACTTGAGAAGACATATTGATAGATTTTGCCTTAGAATTGCATCATACAGCTTGAGGGCATTATAACATTTTTGTAGTAGCTGATAGGTTCTCCAAAATGTCTCATTTTCTATCATGTCCCAAAACAAATGATACTTTCCCTATTGACAGACTGTTCTTTAAGAAAATCATGCATTTATATGACCTTCCTTCAACTTTTATCTCTGTTCGTGATGTTAGATATATATTATCTCTGTTCGTGATGTTAGATTTATTTTATACTTCTATAAGATCTTATGAAAATTACTTAGCACCAAATTAAAATTCTCATATGCTTTTCATTCTTAAATTGATGGACAAACTCAAGTAGTAAATCAAATATTAGGAAACTTATTAAGATGCACTGTAGAAAAAAGTCCAAAAATTTGGGACTTACATTTGTCTACATTTGAATTTGCATATAATAATATTATTTCTAGAGCAACCAAAATTTAACCTTTTGAAATAGTGTATGGTCAAAATCCCATGCAACCAATTGATGTAACAAATCTCCCATCACATGTATTTTTTTATTATGTGTTCACTTTTGCTAAGGATTTTCAAAGATTATATGACATTATAAGACATTAAATAATTTCAAGTAATGATAAATGTGCTTATAGGATAAATATTGATGGATCAATAAAAAAATTTAAAGAATGTAATTTTGTTTTGATTTACATTCGACCTGAGCATTACAAAAAACGAAAGTTTTAGAAATTACATGTAAGGACTTTTGGCTCATTCGAAATTCTTAAGAAAATTAGATCAACTGTTTATCATCATATTTTGCCTGCTGATATGCTAATATATCATGTTATTAATATTGAAGATATTTTATCATATAAAGGAGTTAGCAGATCTCCATTTATTCAGTCTAATTGTTTAACATCAGATATAGTTCCCCACTTACATAATCCCTCATTTTTGGAGATCGATTATATCATCACTGAGAAAGCATAAACTAATCTCTAATATGAACATTATTTTTTAGTTCATTGGATGAATAAATGACCAAGTTATGATATGTGGTAGACTCATATTGACTTAGACACTTTGGCCCTACAACTAATAGAAAACTACTTGGATATTAACTCTATAGAGAAGAGCTCAATTGAGCCTAGGATAGTTGATGTAACACATCATGTGTATGAAGATAATCAAGCTAAAAGCCTAATTACAATAGCTAAGACCAAATCCCAATAAAACAACTAAAGAAAAGATCCAATTATAAGAGCCCGATCATGAGCCCATAATTTTAAACATTTTAAATATAATTTATATTTTATTTACTATATAGAAGCTTATATGATTAATCATGAAATAGTTAGGTAGGGATGAGACAATTAGTCAAAATGGGTAGATGGAATGTGTGGGTGGAATGGGTTAGTGGAACTCCTCTTTAATGTCCACTAAACCCCTCCATTTTTACCCTCTATTTTTTTTCAATAATTATATTATAATGCCTATAAGTATGGGCTGATATGCAGTGTAATTGGAAACTTTTGAATAAAATATTTTTGTGAAGAGTTTTCTTCAATTGCCTAGTGCTTGTTGTCTTTAAGTCAGTGTCTTTTTTTTGTGAGATTTGGTAATTATCCTTATTTCTTTTATGTTACTTACAAGCCATCCTAAATACGAGCTCTAAATTATTTATAGCTCCTCCTCCACTTCATAAGCATTCTCTAAGACCAATAAACCAACAATCATGATCATAAAACCCTTTTAAACACATATAATCATTACCAAATTAGAGGGAACACTTAGACCTAATCTTATTCCCTATACTTCAACATCCTCTTAAACTCCACTGAACTCCACCATAAACTCCATATCACAAGATCACATTATAATCCAATCTTCCACCATTAGTGGGTGTGGTTGATCAAAATAAATTTAAATGAAGTAATGCTAGAATTTAGTACTAAAAACTTGGTTCTTAGGTTGAAAGAAAGTATGAGCCAACTTACCTAACTAACATTCAATTAAGGATGGTCCTTAGAATAATTAAGTATATATAATTCTTCAATAAACTCGTGTAAATAAATGTTATTATATCTGTGAATTTTGAAGAATAATTCACCATAAAGTTTAATTAAAAATTGAACATCTAATTATAAATAAAGATTTACATACTTAATATATTATACAATTTTGTAGTAAAATAAATATATTATTTATTTAATATGAAACTTATTAACAATAAACATTTAAAGAATACCAGAACAAGGGATATGTACTATCTAGTATAAAAGAAAGATGCATACCAATCTTTAATATTGAACATAAACAATTTGAACCCTATTGTTTAAAGTGCGACTAAGCCACTGAGGCTTTGTGTGGGACGACTTTATTACTGCTTCTTAAAATATTTTTTTAGTATAAAATTAATTTTTTGTACAAAAAAGCTATTTTAAGAAGCAGTAAGAAAGTCACCCCAAACGAAGCTTGAGATTAATCATGATTACATTGCATTTAACGCCAAAAGTACGCCTGATGAATACCTCAAATAACTGCATTACCTCAACTTCGACACCGACGAACTCTAACAACCACCACAAATGATATAAACTATGGTTCAAGCTTGTTATAGTTTCTTAGAATTTTCTTCAATTGTAGGGAATGACAAACTTTTGCAATTTCCAATATACACTTGTGTAGCTTTTTATCTTGATTAGGCCTAGTGATTATTTTCTTTCAAAAAGTTCACTTTAAAAACTATGAATAAGGTGTACTATTTTTAATGTATTTGTGTATATACAAGATTTTTATATAAACACAGCTCATCTTGATCTGTTGGTTGGGAGTTTGGCTACCAACCAAGAGGTATATATTCGAGTATTGCGTATGCGATGTGTGTACGAATTCGCCTTAATTGACCTAAATATTCCAAAAAAGAGTTTTTTATATAAAGCCAAAATATCAAAATTATTTCTACCAATAAATCTTAAAAATAACTCAGACCATCATAGATTACAAAAATGTAGGGTCTAATTCATTTAAAATTAGATGTACATTTACATTTTTACAATTATCTTAGTCTAGCCATCCAAATCAAATTAAATGGTTATGATTAAATTCAACGGATCTATCCAAAATCATAATAATTATGTTGAATTCAAAAGTTATAAAAATTGAAAATTTTTATATTTTTATTAAATTTAATTAGAATCACCTAATCTAAATTGAATGAATGAAGTACATATATATGTATTCATCTCCTTAAATTAAATAATCAAGATTGTACAAATATAATAACCCACCTAATTCTAATCTAAAAACCACCTAATTATTTTTCTTTTAATATCAGAAGCCAATCAAATACAATATATGTCGGTTTGAATTCCCTCTCATGCGGCACGACCCTTTAAGTTGGAAAAAAATAACTACGGGTGATGCACTTATAGGATTAGTTACTAATAAGCTCGTCAATAGATTAGTTAGGAGTAGTGCTAGCAAAGCATCTATGCTAGCACCTACTCCGAAAAAAAAAAAAAAATAGGCCAGTTGGTTTTAAGAATAGCCGGACAGCTGCCGACGCTTACGATATCTATTCTCCTCGTCACCCTCCACGTGGTGACAGACCGTACCGGCGAACACTGCGAGATGAGAGAGGAAGGTATGGAAGTCGGCTGGCCCGGCAACAAGAGATAGCAAATGGAGGAAATAACCGATTGTTTTCAGTCAAAACCCTAATCTTCACTCGCGAGATCCGAAGAATAGCACACACGGCAAGTTTTCACCTCGAAAGCAGAGACTTTATCATATTCGTTTTCCTCCCTCCATATCTCGAACCCTCTAATCAATAAGCAGAGGGTTGTAAAGAAGAAGCAATCGTTTTCTTCTCAACCAGACTTCCATTATTCTTCTCACCACTTCAGAAGTGGGTTTCCGGTCGATCCTAGCGGCTTCGGAAACTTTTGTTTCACTTCTGGATTTTGGTCAGGTGGCCCTAAAATGGGGTTCTTCTTGGGCCTGATATTCGGGATCCCGGTTGGAGTCGGCCTGGTTGTAATGTTCGTCCGATCCGAGAATGCGAGGGCCAAGTCACGCTTCGACCTGGTAATCTTCCGTTCTCTTTTCTCTGTTTTAACTATTTGGCATTGTTGAAGATCAATCATTATGTAGAATTGGGAGATGTTGGTGTGTTAGGATATAAATAGGAATCTTTGATAGCTAGAGCTACCTGTTGAGAACTGTCCGAAAAAAGACCTAGGAATTGGAGTATATTGAACGACGCTTAGAAACTACTATGTGTGAACCAGTCAGTAGAGTTTTCAGAGGTTCACGAACCCTTGATGGCTGACAGGTTTAGGCTTTGTATATGCAATATGAGACTGAAAGGGAATTGAATAGGGGACCATAGCTGCTGAAAACAACTGAACACAAGTAAGCAATTAAGTAGCTTAGCCTGGAGCTTGACTGGTGCTAATAAATAGAGGGTTGTAAGCCAACTTGGTATATTTCACATTAGTGATGGCAGATATAGCATACAAGCTGGGGTCAGTCTGAAAAGAGGCTTCGAAAATTGCCATTTTGATAAGGTTAATGTGATAAACTGACATGGAGTAGTTTGTGAATAATGTTGGGCACAGTTTTTGCCTTTTTATTAGCTAGATTCATGTTTTTGGTTCGAGTGTTCGACAAAAGAGAAGTTCACATGTACACAGCTCCTGTTGAAGGATTGGCCCATTGCCTGGGAAGTGGCATCTTGAGGTGATTTAGGCTTTGTTTGGGACAACTTTCGTACCGCTTCCTAAAATGGCTTTCTAGTATAAAATTTTTTAATTCACGATTTTTTTGTATTAAAAAGTTGTTTTAGAAAGCAACAAAAAAACTGTCCCAAACAAAGCCTTAGTTACGGTGGTGGCAAGAGGCATGTGATGGTTTACATCACTGATTCATCATTGAAATTGTACTGGAGGGAAGGGAATTGTGACTGGGCAGGAAGGACTCATCTTACTTGTTAGTGGGTCATCTGCAGCCATTTTGAAATAGTTTTTGTATATGGAGGAAGATTTTGTATCTACTTAAACTTGAGCGGTAAGTCTTAAACCTGAATTTTATATTTTATTTTATGTTGAAGGTTAGGGGCATTTTCAAATTATAAGGACATTTTTATATCTTATTTTGTTAAATGGAATGTAAAACAATTGTATTCTATATTTTCTTTGAATTTTTCTTGTTTAGACTGCTACTGTGGCAGCATTTGCAAAGATGACAGTGGACGATTCAAGGAAAATTCTTCCAGGTGACTATTATCCTCCGTGGGTTGTTTTCTCACAAAGACAGAGAGTGAGTTGGTTATTTCAAAATTAGTCCGTTGTTTCTCCCAATGCTGTAATTCTCCATGTGCTGATACTGTTATGTCATGTATCAGCTGAACTGGCTAAATCTTCAACTTACTAAAATCTGGCCTTTTGTGAATGAGGTAATATATGAGTCTTTCTTCACACTTGTGTTATTTTGCATTCAGACTTTAGTTCTTGTTCCATAGTTTGCATGTTTTATGCATGTGCTGAAATTTAAAATCCGTTGGCGAAATTGATCTATTTCTAACTTAACTTCCTCCCATGTGGAAATTTGGCTTCCACTTGCAATTGCCTCCCTCCAGGCTGCATCTGAATTGATAAGAAATTCTGTTGAGCCAATTTTAGAGCAGTATAGAGCAGGTGTATTAGCTTCGCTGAAGTTATCCAAGCTAACTCTTGGTACTGTTGCTCCACAATTTACGGGTATGTTTATCAAAATAATTGTTTTACATTTAACTAAGATTCAGCACGGATACACTTTTCAGGACCCATGCTGTTGTTAGTTTTCTGTTTAAATAATTATACTAATACTGCATATTGTTTGTTAAATCTAAACTATAATCTTTCCTATCTCATAGTATCTATTTAATATGAACTTTTCTGCCTTTGGCATTTAAGTCAAATCTCATGCAGCATCGTAGTGGATTACCCAAAAATTAGTTTGAGTGGATATCCTAATTATGAAATATTTAATAGTTAGTAATACATACTACAACAGATTATGCGAATGTTCCGAAGTCACTTTTGATGCATTGGAACTCTGTAGTGGTATATTTTTCTGTTCTCTTCTTTGTCATTCATGGCAACAACAATTATCAGCATACACTATTAGTGTTGTCACTCTTCTTTTGGCCAAATGCTTAATTAAGAGGGCATTATCTCAATATGATCTCCTTGACTATCTATATTATATTCCTTTCATTACTTCAGTAAAAACTCCTGAAACAAGTTATATGTGGTTGTCATTGTTTTAGGCAGTATGGGGCCTTTTTTAGTACACATACCCTATCATCTGATCCTTTCTCATCATATTGTTGAAGTTTCTCATTGAATTGAGTTTTTAGAGACAACAAACTTCTTGTTATGTTCATTTTTTTCCATGGGGGGAAATATCTATTGATGGTCAACTTCATATGTTTGTTAGGAACTAGTCTTGCTAAATCTTTCAATAGCCATCAAACTTATATTTTAGCATAGAAACGCATTTGTAACTTACGATATTGTTTTTCTATTACGTTTATTTTTCTATTAGGTTTATTCACGCTCTCCCATGTGTTGTTTTTCTTCAATCCATCAATTTCCTCTCTCATTACATTCCTATCTTGATAATGCCTTAGATAAAGTGTTTGTGACAAAGTTGTTTAGACTCATAAAATTTTTATGGAGAGGAGAAAGACATTTAAGTAATAAGTAGTGAGACAAGGGGGGCTATAAAGGTTTATTTGTGGAACTTCAGGCACCATCTCTAATGAAAATAGGGAGATCAATGTCCTTTTCATTAGGAAGATTTGAACTTACCATGTTTTCAATTATGGCACAATTTTTTTTCCTCGAGTACATATGAGGAAATCTTAGATTAATAAATTTAGGGTAGAATTTTTATTTACAAAATCAAGCACAATTAGAGTAGAATTATGAGCTGTTTGGTTTTTGAAAAAGAGAATGCAGAGTAAAAGGAATATAATGTATTTGAAATGTAGTGCGTTTGAAATATTTTAGAGTTTTTTGGTGGGTCGTAAAACAATTGCAGAAGATTATTTTTTTTGTGTTTGGTTTAAAGTATATACATGAAATGAATATATACGTGAAATGGTTGGAGTAGCTCCAATGACAGATAAGATTATAGAGAATCGTCTTAGATGGTTTGGTCACGTTAAAACATTGGCTTTAAGATAACCCAGTTCGGGGATTAGATGTATTAGATTTGACCTATGTTAAGAAAGGTAAAGGTAGTCCTAAAAAGACTTTGTTAGAAAATATTTGAAACAACTTTTATTTATTAGTTTTAAATGAGAATTTGATTCTTAATAGAACACAATGGAGAAAAATGATTCATGTAGCCAACCACGTTTGGTAGGATAAAGGATTGATGTTGTTGGTTTGAAGTAAAATGAATGTAATATAAATCCCAATAGTGGTGGTAGCCGACAATAGTTGTTGCTAATGGAAAACGACAATTGTTGTAATGGTTGTTGGTGTATAATAGTGAACAACAACTAGTGGCGATAGTGATAGGTTGCTAATGACTGACAGTGGTTAGCGGCCAGTTTGTGGTGAGCATTTGTGAGTGTTTTCGAGTGGCGGGCGATTGGTGGCGGGTGGTGAGGGCAGGTGACTATGGGTGTCGGCTTGCAACATATTCAGAACTTGGCTATATTGGATGAGTTTTGAATGCATCACAAATGTCCTAAGTGACAAAGTTTGAAATTCATTAAACTTTTGCTCTTCATTTTCTTGTGCTTCAAATCAAACATTAATTTTTTTAAAACCTTTGCATTTGTAATACTTTACATCCTTTTTACTTCAACCAAACAATCCCTTAGTGTTATTTGGAACATTCTTTTCAGGGGCATCCAATGATTTTGTGATCATTGTATTCTTAAGTAGGCAGAAACATAAGGGAGTTTTAGAGAACCCAAATTATTGTGGTCACAATCTTTATATTCCAGGAGTGAATTCTCCCTCTTAAGATAAAACTATGTGAAGTGAGGTTTATTTTTTGCACATGTGATGTAGCTGGCTTGTAAATTTTTTTAGAAAGAGGATGATAATATTTTATCTTTTTCATGAAAGAGTAGCCTAGAAACACACATAATGGCTATGTGGTCCAATTTTTCTTTGGACTGTGAATATGAGATAGGAGTTATATCCAAACTTTCTTAGGTAGAAAGCCATTAAACGTTGACATGGGGATATAATTGTGCAATACACTCCATGAGAGATTTGCATTCTAAAGTTCTTAAACATATTCTATTTGCCATGTACGTTGCGTTGTGACAACTTCCCCCTAATAGATTTTGGTCAACTTCCCTTGAAATAACAATGCCCTAGTGGTATTAAGTGGTCATTTTTTTCTTTCAACAATTTCATTTTATGGTCTTGTATGTATACCTAAAATATTTAACCTTAACTCCAATTTGATTTTGATTCACTGAATGAAAAATAAAAATAATGCCACTCACATCATTTTTTTTATCAAGCATATCTATGTATCTCTAGTACAATTATCAATAAGAGAAATGAACAAACAAAGCTACTTAAATATTTGGAATCATAGACAGTCCCCAAACTTCATTATGGATTAATTTTGAAGGATGAGAACTTCTGTTATAATAAATAGGAAAGGGTACCCAATTATATTTTGCAATATCACAAGTCTTGCTACTTATTTTGAAGGATGAGAACCTTTTAAAACGGTAGTGAAACTTTCTATTTAAATGTTTAGAGGATGGATAATTGCCACAAAGAGTGGTAAAACCAAATGACATCTTTATTTGAAGAACTAAGAAGTCATAAAGAGCTGTTACTCATGACTCTTTTGAATAACTCGATCTTTTGAGTTTGTTAACTGATCCCGTAGCAAATCCAATCTTCCACTTTGAATCAGGGTCCCAAAAAAATACATAAAGAAGGATAATTGCTTAAAATCTGAGATCTTTTATAAGTTTTTGAATTAAAAGAAAGTTGATAATTTTAGAGCATGAATGACATTTTTTAAGTGTTAAGAAGTCTTTAGCACTTTGCAACAATGATTTTCCTGCTATTAGGATATGCAGTATAAGAGTTGAAATATTGATAGGTGTGTGGTTGACACTTGAATCAATTATCTAAGAGTTGTCCACTCTATTGCAGTCCAAGAGACAGTGAAGACTTACCTGAGAGTGCTAATGAGCATGATTTAAAATATTTTTTCTCTGAGGGATTCAATTAAGCTTTTGAGTTTCTCAATTTCTTGAAGCCTCCATTAAGATTGGACGGTGATTTATGATGTTTCCATGATGAAGAACCATAGTAGAAATCAAAAAACAAAGATAGCGGAGAGGCTGAGGGTTGCGGTTCTAACAATAAAGAGGAGCAATTATGCTTAGAAGTGCTTGCTTCACAACGAATCTGAAGCTACCAACATGAAAGAAAATACCTGCATCAAGGAATGTTGCAGCCTTGTGAATGGAGAACGGGCCTAGCAGAGCAGAAAAAAACTCCTGCAATAATAACGGATGTTGGACTCACCAAGGAGAAAAGAAAGCTCTAGTGGTAGAGCTTTGCGTCTTTGGAGGACCATTACTAAAGTTAATCACGACTGAAGCTTGACGGCAAGGAGAAGGTGATGAATAGCAGAGATATCAATCATGATTTAAGAGGATGATGCAATCAGGTGAAAGTAGGACATGACAAGATGATGATGAATACCCAAACAAATTTTAAATTTAGATTTCTAATATGCTTTGAATACCCAAACAAGTTTTGGATATCCTTGGCAAGGATCCATGTGATCTTGATTTCTTTTTTTTTTGCATGAATTAATCAGATCATTTTTTTTGGCATGAATCTTAGGGATCCAATAGAAATAATAAATGAAAATAATTATTATAATGAAGGGCTTAACTATTGATTAGAGTGATTTGTGACAATGAACATTACATATTTATATTTTATGACAAAAAATTATCCGATCAATTAATTTGCCACATATCCATAGATTTATTGCAACTAATTAGTGTTGAAGCTTTCCCAACAAAATTCTTTAAAAAATCCTAAATTGAACTATCAACAATTTTAATTGATATTATAACAAGGAAAAAAAACACCCAAGTATTTCACACATACTCAATACAATTCCAACACAGTCCTGCATATCATAGAATTAATTCAAATAATGAGTAGAGACCAACTATAACACATGAAATGTTTAGATTCACAAATCACGGTCATAGATGGTGTACCAAACTTTTTATTTGTTATAGACCCAGCGAGATAACATAGAAAATACATTAAATCTGAAGTAATAGTAGACGATTCTGGTGGTGGATGCAATGTTGCATCAGCTAAACCATAATCGCAAGAGCATCAAGAGCATTCAAAGTGCCCTGGCCATATTGCGCTTGTAGAATTAAAGAAAAATCTCACACACTCTTCGTATTTCGCCCACTCAAAATACCGTCCATCCCGTCTGCGATCAACTCCTATGCCTCTGTGACACCAATTGCGACACAACTCCGCACGTCTCGCTTTCGGTCTGCGTCCGCTCCTGCGCAGTCCACTTCCACGCACGACACCAATCGCATGACTCGACCCCAGCACCCTTTTCCTGTGCGGACGCCTCCAGCCTGTGTCCGCTTCACGCGTGGCCCGCATCCGGCTCTCCCGCGCCCCTAAACGCTCTGACCCATGGTCTCGGCCTACAGCCCATGCTTCAATGCCAT